TCCTACGCGTAAGCCAACAAGGGCATTTGGTACGAAGGGGAAGGGGCAGCTTTTCCCTCAATGGTGGAACTGATGAGTCTAACACACAATAACAACAACAAGTCAACTATAATATTAGACATATGAAGAAGTTAAACTTTAAACATCCATGACTTAAACACTGTATCCAGGATAAAAGCCACATAGCTGCACCTGCAAGGTGAATACAGCTGGTAACAGAACAAGTGTTTGAATGCGTTTATGATATCACTGCCCCGTCTAAGACACGATCTGACTTTAATTACATTTGACTCGAGTGTTTCGTCAACTTAATGTGTTGCTTAAAATAATACTTCTGCATACAGTATGTGACACTGAGTGTTGCACGGCCAGATACGGCTCAGCTGACTCAGATAAGGAGATATGTGATNTTTTTAGAGATTGTGGTTTGAATATTGCATGCTTTCGTCGTTTTGGTGTGTGGCTTTTCTTGTTTTTGTCCCTCACGATTAGCAGACACTGCAACCCAGCGGACCAGGCCTGCCCAACTGAGGAGGGTAACTTATGCTTAATGTTACTTTGATCCGGTAACTTATGTTGTGTGAGGGAGGCAGAAAGTTTGATAGTGTATTTCCGGTATATTCATTTTAATGTCACCTTATATAGAATGTGTGTTAAACTTGTGATTTCTGCATTGAGTGACTTCTGCCTAGCAGATACCAAGAAGAGGCCCCTGGCGTCTCTCTGTTAATTATCAATAGTCCTTGCAATTAACAGGGGAATTCCCAGAGACATTTTCCTTAGATATAATGCAGTTAAATTATTGTTAGTTAATGATGCACATCCTGCAGGCCTTGAGAATTGAGTCACACAGTTAAACGAGACCATAGTCCTTTGTTCTAATTTTTAAATGTATTCATTCCAGATAGCTGACTTTTAGGTAAGAAGAAGGTCAGGGAAGACCTTAGGGCATGGGAACAGTTAACTTCTGTTGGTTGACTGATTCTGTGGCCGTCATGGGACGATGGCGTTTGGATATTTACAAGTATGGCTTTCATAAAGAAAAACAGTCTGTCAAAGAGTCCTCTGTCATGACTCCAAATCATTGATTGGGGACTGCCAGAGGGCAGAGAGGGACAGAAATACACACACACGCACGCACGCACACACACACACACAGACAGACAGACAGACAGACAGACAGACAGACAGACACCACACCGCACAGGAGCGCAACAGATGGAATCAACAAACTGCTGACTCACTGCTTGGTGTCCCGCCCAGGAGTGAAACCGACCAATGGAACACTGCCAACTAACTGGCTAGCTCGCTCAGAAGTGAACTCGCCAATAACAAATAGCTAGGGAGGAGCAAGCGATAAAACTCCTCCCCACCTGTGTATAAATGTTGTTTATTTTTGATGTTCGGGGCTCTTGTTCTGACTGGCCGTTCCTAAGAAGTGTCTCACGCGGTGGTAAAACCTGAGCCCGGAGTACTCTGCATTTTGAAGCTGCTGTTGCGGAGTGCTTCGTGATTAGGTGTTGTATCTTTTAACATTAAAAGCAAATATTATTGTTTAACCCTTATCCTGGTTGTTTTGAGGTTTTCCTTCTTTTGAGAACCCGCTCATATAGGAACGGCGCGGAGCAGAGGTTCTGCCCCAACAGTGGAGAAAGTGAATACTGCTGAATACACATACTTTACAGAGATGCTGTATGCGAAACCCATGTGAGTTTGGTAAATTGCACTGTATTTTTCTATTTTAGTATACCTCAACAATGGAATTATGGTCAGTGGAAATGGCCTAGACACCTCTCCTTTAATACCACCTGCAACCACTCCTGTAAAAACATATTACAGCTTCCACCAAAGACTCGCCTATTGTAGGAGTGTGGTGGCCACTAGAAAGAACATTAGGGAATATTAGACAAACCTGTGTGTGAATGAAAATAAATATCCTTGAATCCCAAACATCAAGCCGTCCAGATCACATCTTTTATCAATGGGATGAGGAAGCAAACTTATCTGAAGTCACAAAAAGTTCATATTGACAGATTAATAAAATGTTTGCTGACATTTTAGTTTATTTACACAATGGTTAAACTTGTGTAGTTCAAATTCAATCTTTTGCTGTCAAAAAAAGGGTATACTCTCATGTAAATAAGGCCCTTAATCCCAACCCTAAGGGAAACATGTGTGGTAATGGGTTGGACTGAAGTCAGAATAAAGGTGTAACACAGAATGTATTGACAATTTATACCATTATGCTTTAAATAACAGTCAAACCAAGCAAGAGGGGGGGTGTTCCGTTTCAAATGCGTTTGTTTCGAACACGCGGGAACGTTTTTGGCCAGCAGATGACAACATACTTCTCATCTAAACAGTCAGATGTTCGTTAAGAGAATGTCCGTCGCGACTTAAGTCATGGGACAACCTTTGGCATCTGTATTTATGTCTCTCATCACAATGTAATAAGTAAAACAATAAGTCGTAAATACAACCCCCAATATTAATGTGAGTTGAAAAAGTAAAGCATTGATCTAGAGGAGAAGCATAACCTCTGTGTGAGAGGCCAGCTATCACTGCTTGTTTTAATTGTGCATTGTAGACGGAGCATCATTGCAGGACCCCAACCCACAGCTCTCTGCTCCACCAGGGACCCCACCAGGAAGGAAAGGCCAGCTCAAAGTGTGGCTCCAATGTGCGTGGACAGAGAGGAAGACAGATAATTAATTATTGAAAAATGTTTTTTGATGGATGTTGCTAGGGATGTGATAAGTATATGATATGAGATTAAATATATACAAAATATTGTCTTCTGTTTGGATATTTACAAATACTTTCTGCACACTCAAAATTGCAACATTTCCTTGTTGGAAAGAACCAAGTTAAACTGTTTTGGTCCACCTTAGCACATTAGCTAGCAAAATTAGCATTGAATGATTATCCCGAAGATTCATATAAAGCATATTCTAAGTGTTTGACCCCTGTACGGTCACTCTCAGATGGCTCGTTTTGCAAATTGAATGTCCAACTTTTACAACAACTCCCTGGTCATTTTGTAGTTCTGCACCCATTTTTCACACTACTGATTTTGGGCACTTTATTGTCAGATACGAGCCTGTGATGTCACTCCTTCTCAAATATTTACAGCTCCTCTTCTCACTGCTTCAGGTGGGTGTCACGACTCTCCACACACACAAAAACAACTCAGGAATCACTGTGTACTTATACTCATTAACATGGGACGTTATCTAACGCCTGTTGTGGTAGAGCCAAATGTGCTGATTTTAATCAAAAAAGGCTATTGCAGAACGGTAAGATGGATAGACTGAATACAACAAATAGGCTGCAACGATTCTTCCCATGATTTTCACAATCTTATTCCATCAGAATAATGTGGAAGATGCAAACAATAACAATTGTAGGAGCTTCAATGTATTTACACACTTCCTGATTCATTCTTTTTTCATCAGTGCGACATCTCTGTGTTTTCCCTTCCATGAAGTGTGTTACATAGGTCTTCATGAAATAATGAATGGTCTGCAAAGGCTAAAATCTGTCTCCTCTCAATGCACCTGTTCTAGTTGTAATTAACAATGACTGCCCTCCTTTTGTCTCCTTTTCACAACGTGACTTAAAGCCGCCTCACGTACGAAACACTTAAAGCAGATCTGAGGTGCAGCTGCCTGCCTGTCTTCACTTTAATAAAGTCATTATGTGCAGGGACATGAATCTGGGGCTCTCCC